TTCGCCAGGGGCTCCCGGAGTAAATCGTCAGGAAGTACCAAAAAGGAGCTCTTGTCGTCGTGGTTGGGCCCCCGCCAACTTGATTGAATTGCGAGCAACTATCGGGCGAGAGCGCCGTTCCTAAGTTCGGGGGCCTCTCTGGCCAGGATGTCTCGGAGTAAATTGTGAGGAAGTATCGAGCGGGAGCCGTTGTCGTCGTAGCCGGGCCTCCAAGGGCCCATTTTTACATATTTTTACATTCGGGCCAACGCTCGAGCGGGAGCTTCCTTTTCAGGGAAAATCTAGCCGGCGTCGAGGCGAGGGGGCCCAGAACCGTTTCCGGAGATCATCAATAATTATTCACTAGAAATGAGTATTCAACAACAACAACAACAACAACAACAACAACAACAACAACAACAACAACAACAACAACAACAACAACAACAACAACAATCATTTTACCCGAACGCTCAGTGTTCTCCCCAGTGCCAGGGTTTTCATGCGACGCCAGCCAATACCCCCACTTCGTGGGGGGGCAATGCAAGCTCTACCAAACATCCACACGACTCTCGGGAACCACCCACACCCAGCTTCCCGCCCTATGACGTCAGGACACTTCACTTCGTGGCGCGCGGACGATCGTGGATACTACACTGGCGTGGAGTACACACCCGCAGAGGTTGATCACTTGTTTGGGCCCCGCATGTGCCCCGCATGGTGCATTTGTTGCGTATGACATACATAGTACAGAGAGACAGAGAGAGAGAGAGAGAGAGAGAGCAAGACAGAGAGCCAGTGGAGAGAGAGATAGAAAGAGATTCGTCACATGTGTGAGGCAACCTGAGAAGACTCGTAGGCTCGCAACCGTTGTTGCAGAAGGTCGAAGCACCTGAAAAGGTTCCTCGCAAAGGCCCTTTTAACAGAAATGTTTAAAATCTGGTGGGTTTCCTAGGAATCCGCAAGAGCGCGCGGAAGGACATTTTGACAATTTTTTCTGAGAAAACCATTGGGTTTTTGATGTTTTTATGTTAAAATCGCTACGAAACCTAAGGTTTTGGAAGGATTTCGTCTTGCGCGCACGAATGTCCACTTTACCTTATTTTTTGCAAGGGATTCTTGCAATTTGATCAAGTAAAAACAAGAATTTTCATTTTCTATTGTTTTTTGCAAGGGAAAACGAGCGTCAACAAAAAACCGGATCCGGAGCTCATCCACTTTTCTGAAGCTTTCGCGAAAAAATGATGAAAATGTAGCTGCGGCCTAGGCGCGGCGCAGAGGTCGCGCACCAGGGGTCCCAACAATAATAATTCTTTAGAAGGAATAATGTTCAACAACAACAACAACAACAACAACAACAACAACAACAACAACAACAACAACAACAATTACTAGCACGTGGGGACACACCGTTCTCACCAGTGCCAGGGTTTTCATAGGAGGCGGGCAATACCCCCACTTTGTGGGGGGGCCGGTTCAAGCTCTACCAAATTTCCAAACGACTCTTCGCCACCACCCACACCCAGCTTCCCGCCCTATGACGTTCGGACACTTCACTTCGTGGCATGCGGACGACCGTGGCTACTATTCAGGGCCCCGCGGCCGACGACGACGGCGTGCGCGCGCGAAGAAAAAACGAATGTGTCCCGCATGGTATTATTTGACAGGGATGATGGCCCTGGCAGGTGCGCAACCGTTGTTGCAGAAGTTCGAAAAAGTTGCTCGCAAAAGCCCATTTGACAGAAATGTTTAAAAAGTGTTGGGTTTCCGACAAATCCGCAAGAGCGCGCGGGATGAAATTTTGACATTTTTTTTTTTTGAAAAACCATTGGTTTTTTGATGTTTTTATGTTAAAATCGCTACGAACACTAAGGTTTTGGAAGGATTTCGTCTTGCGCGCGCGAATGTCCACTTTACCTTACTTTTTGCAAGGGATTCTTGAAGTTTGGTTATGTTAGAACAAGAAATGTCCACTTTAGCTTATTTTTTGCAAGGGAAAACCGATCGTAACAACACAACCGGATCCGGACCACCCCGTTTTGCCTGAGACTTCCTCACGAAAATGATGAAAATGTGGCTGCGGCCTAGGCGCGGCGAGGGGGCCGCGCACCAGGGGTCCCAACAATAATTATTCTTTAGAATAAATAATGTTCAACAACAACAACAATAACAACAACAACAACAACAATAACAAGAACAATAACAAGAACAACAACAACAACAACAATAACAACAACAAGAACAACAATAATTTTATGACTGATCGCCCTTATCTGCTCGAGTGTCCAATAACGCGTATTTCCCAAACCCTCGATACCCGCCCTCTTCGTCTTCGATCGAACCCCTTTTGGGGGGTATACCTTTCTTCCTTGCAGGCCGGGCCCCGGCAAGCGGCGGGGCGGCCGCGGACCGTCGGCCTGGCCAGCGGCAGCGCTGATCGGCGGGGCGGCCGCGGACCGTCGACCCGACCCCACGAGGGACGGACAGGGGACCGACCACGACGACGACGACGACGTCGAAGACGACGGCGACGACGACGACGACGGCGACGACGAGCGAAAGCGAGAGCGAGAGAGAACGACAGCAGGGTCACGAAGGGCACGAAGTAGGCCATGAAGGGCGACAGCGGGGACACGAAGGGAATGCGTATGGGGCCAGGAAGAGCGCGAACGAGCGGGGGCCAGGGGGCCAGTTTGAGCAGGAAGACTTTCCCTGCCAAAAAAACAGGGTGCGAGCGTCGAGGGGCACACTTTGATTGAGAAAACACAGCATGCACAGGTGAGGGGGATCAACAATAATTATTCTTCAGCAGTGAGCAATTAGAATTTAACAACAACAACAACAACAACAACAACAACAACAACAACAACAACAACAACAACAACAACAACACAAACAACAACAACAACAACAACAACAACAACAACAACAACAACAACAACAACAACAACAACAACAACAACAACAACAACAGCAGCAGCAGCAACAACAACAACACTCATTTTAAGACTGTTCGCCCTTATATGCTCGAGTGTCCAATAACGCGTATTTCCCAAAAACCCTCGATACCCGCCCTCTTCGTCTTCGATCGAACCCCTTTTGGGGGGTATGCCTTTCTTCCCTGCAGGCCGGGCCCCGGACCGTCGGCCTGATCAGCGGCAGCGCCAATCGGCGGGGCGGGGGCGGACCGTCGACCCGACCCCAAGAGGGACGGACAGGGGACCGACCACGACGACGACGACGACGACGACGACGACAACGACGACGACGACGACGACGTCGAAGACGACGGCGACGACGGTGACGACGAGCGAAAGCGAGAGCGAGAGAGAACGACAGCAGGGCCACGAAGGGCACGAAGTAGGCCACGAAAGGCGACAGCGGGGACACGAAGGGAATGCGTATGGGGCCACGAAGAGTGCGAACGAGCGGGGGCCACGAAGTGCAGATAATGCGGTGCCACAGAAGGCAACTATGGGGCCACTGGGGGTAGCAACTGGGCCACGTAGGACACTGAGGGGGACGCAGATGGCGACAGCGGGGCCACGAAGGGCATGCACATGGGGCCACAACGGGCACGACTCCTGGGTGCCTGGGTGTCGGGAGCGCGGCGCTTGGGCAAGTTGCAGGAAATTCCAACGCAAGGCTATTCTTCAGTAAGTTGCAAGCAAGTGTTCAGCGAGAGCGCGACTCCAGAGCTCCGGGAGAGCGACTCTTGAATCAAATGTAAGGAAGTCCCAAGCGAGAGCGCGATTCCTGAATAAAATGCGAAGAAGTCTCGGGCGGGAGCGGGGGTACTGCCTAAATTGTAAGGAAGTCTCAGGCGGGAGCCGTTGTTGTTGTAGCCCAGGTGCCAGGGGGCCAGTTTGAGCAGGAAGACTTTCCCTGTCAAAAAACAGGGTGCGAGCGTCGAGGGGCACACTTTGATTTAGAAGAAACAGTATGCACCGGTGGGGGGAACCAACAATAATTTTTCAGAAATGAGAGTTCAACCACAAGAATCATTATAAAACTGTTCGATCTTGCTCGTGTGTTATTCAAAACGAGTTCCCCACATCCTCGATACCCGCCCTGTTTGTCTTCGATCACACCCCCTTTGGGGGGAGCACTTCCAGAATAAAATGTGAGGGGCTCTCTGGCGGGAGCGGGGGTCTTGATTAAATTGCGAGGAAATCTTGATTCAATTGCGAGGAAGTCTCAAGCGGGAGCGCCGTTCCTGAGTAACTTGTGAGGAAATCTCAGATGGGAGCGGGGGTCCTGACTAAATTGCGAGGAGGTCACAGGCGGGAACACCGATCCTGAGTAAACTGTAGGGAAGTCTCAGGAGCGGGGGTCCTGAGTAAATTTGGAGGAAGTCCTAGGCGGGGAGCCGTTGTTGTTGCAATCTGGGGGGGCAGGGGCACAGTTTGAGCACGAAGACTTCCCCTGTCAAAAAACAGGGTGCGAGCGTCGAGGGGCAGATCTTGATGGGCGGGTCGGGCAGGCGGGCCCAGGCGGCAAGGTCGAGCAGGCGGGCTGCTGAAGCGTAAGTCCTGCATGAATCGCGAGGAAGTCTCGAGCGATAGTGGGATTCCCAAGTAAATCGTGAGACAGGCTGCAGCGAGAGCGTGATTCCTGCGTGTCCAGGGCGCCACGCCAGAGCGAGATTCTGCACACATTGTGAGGAATTCTTGCGCGAGAGCTCGATTTTGGAATCACATGTGAGGAAGTATCAGACGGGAGCCGTTGTTGTTGTAGGCGGGGGGGTAACAAGCAGCTTGAGCAGGAAGACTTCCCCTGATACCAAGCCGGGTGCGAGCCTCGAGGGGGGCACTGCAATTCAAAAAACACCATGTGCACCGTGGGGGGATCAACAGTAATTACAAACCCTCCTTCGGTGGGGCTCTCGTTTTGAATGAGCAGTGTGGGCCCCACCTCTTCCTCCCTCCTCCCTCCTCCCCGCCTCCCCTTCACCCCCTCCCCTCAGCCCCCCCTCTCTTTCCTGCTTGTCGTCCTCTCCCTCGTCGAGACCTCGCGGGCCCTGCGGGGCTGCGGACCGTGCAACAGTCGCAGCTTTCGTGGGCTCCTGGGAGGTCCAGCGGAAAGGAGGTCCACGTGGATTTGGCGAGACCTCGCGGCTCCCTGCGCGGTTGCGAACCGCGCAACTGTCGCCGCTTTCGTGGGCTTCTGGGAGGTCCAGCGGAGTGGAGTTCCACGCAGATTTCCCGAGACCTCGCGGCTCCCTGGGGGGCTGCGAGCCGCGCAATTGTCACCGCTTTCGCGGGCTCCTGGGAGGTCCAGCGGCGTGGAGGTCCGCACGGACCTGCCGAGACCTCGCGGCTCCCTGGGGGGGCGGCGAACCGCGCAACTGTCGCCGCTTTCGTGGGCTGTCTCGGGAGACCGCGCAACTGTCGCCACTTTCGTGGGCGCCTGGGAGGTCCACCGGAGGAGGAGGAGGAGGAGGAGGAGGAGGAGGAGGAGGAGCAGGAAGGAGCAGGAGGAGCAGGAGGAGCAGGAGTTGGTCCCCTGCCTCCCTCACCTGTTTCTACTGTTTTCCGTTGGCGCACACCTCAGGAAGGAGAAGGAGCAGGAGGAGGAGCAGGAGGAGGACGTACGGATGGCCGCGGTCGCTCCGCACTCCGAGGCCGACGGCGACAGCGACAGGAGGAGGACGAGGAGGACGAGGAGGACGAGGGGCAGAAGGAGGGTGCCCGAGCGGGCCTCCCTCCGCTTGGCGAGTGCCGAGGCTTCCCGGTGCTGCGCCCTGGCAGAGCCCGACGTCCCGGGCACCCACAAGCGGACCATCACCATCGGGATGGGCCCGGCCAAGGGCTGGCGCGTGACCGCGTGGCTGAGGGACAAGACCGACACGGGGCGGCAAGGGGACTGGCGTCGATACCTGGCATGGCCGTTGCAGCATGAGCGAAGATGCATGTCTGGGGCAAGATTTGCACGCTGCCTTGCACGTTCTGGGGGGAGGTTTGGGAGCAGGGCTTTCGCACCGCAGTGCCCTCGTAGCAGTGGTAGCGGTCGCAGCATGCGAAGTGTCCAGTGCCTCCCGGTTGTATCCTACAGGCACGCATCCACTCTAGAGGGTGGCAGACGGAGCAGTGGTTTCCGTCGCAATCACCGTGTAGATTCGAAAGGCTGGGCAGAGCAAAGTACTGGTCGGTGGACGCAAGGGAGATATTAGGCGGGAGTGGACCCAGGAAGCGGGTATCACGTTTTTGACAGCTTTCGTTCTGCATGTTTGGCACCACTTATGCGCTCACTCGAGGCATCGCCCGAGCTATCGCATGAGGAGTCTGGCGCAGGCGCACAGCCACAGCAGCGGCGATGGTGAGTAGGAGCTGCGAAGGCGAGGGACTGCACTAGGCCACCCACTTTGCACAGTTCCGATAGCTGCTCGCTTTAGATGGGCGAGGCCAGGAGATGGCGACGACTCAGAAGGGCTCGAGTGTTGCGACGCATCACGCCCGCGAGGCATCCTCTCCTCGCTTGTTACGGCCAGTGCGGGCAGAGTTTCAACAGAGAGGAGTGTGGTGTCTTCCTCGATGTGCCCAGTGCGCGCGCCAGAAGGGTCAGTGACGGGAGGGAATTCGACAGCACCGTCCGGTGGCGTATCACTTCTCCTGAGCGCAGACACACTTACGTTCGGTTCAACTCGAGCAGCATGCGGAATCTTCAGGAGTGGAGGGTGAGGAAGGGCATAGGTGCAGTTCTTCCGTCGTCCTCCTGCCTTCCTCCGTTCCTCCTCACCAGTCAGTCGTTCAGTCTCCTTAGTCCATCCTCCCCTTCTCCTTCTGGTCACCGCCTTCTCCTTCATCGGTCAGTGAGTTAGTCAGTCAGTCAGAGATGAGGTTTGATGTTCGTATCGTCTACAGTGATGGGGCAGAGAAGAAAACAAGACGCAGCGATGAAACTGCATGCGCAGAAGGAGGAAGGTGGGGCACAGCCCGCAACCCGAAGCCGCCTCCGCTCGCCTCAAGAGGGGGGTCCTCCTCCTCCTCCCCCTCCTCCTCGACGCAGCCCTGCGGACAAGTTACCTTGGCCACATGAAACAGCTCTCGGCGGATGGCACTCCTCCTTCCCCGTTTCTTCTCCGCAGCGATTCCCGCGGGGCCAGATGCACACGAGCTGCCAGCAGTGGGCTCATCCTCCCCCTTGTCTTGCAGTCGCTCTGCCTGCTCCGTCGCGGTTTCGTCCATAGGGGCCGAGGGCACATCAGCGGAGACAGTCGACTCCTCCCCCCCCTCTCCTGGCCCTCCTCTCGCCGTCGCTCCGCCTGCTCCGTCGGGGCTTCGCACCCAGGACCCGTTGCCATGGGCGTGCCGGGCCCTTTCCTCTTCGGGTGCCTCGAGGACGATTTGGCATGGCGAGTGTTTCTGCTAGCTCGTCTTGACGAATGATTTGCGCTGGGTGCGCATGGTGCTTGCGCGGGGGATTGGGGGATGGGGTCTTTCGGCTCCTGCGGCAGTGCGGCGGCTGCGCAGGGTATCGCCTGTGGGAAATGCGCAGTCGCAGAACAATGGCTGTCACCTTGCACCTGCTTGCTCAACGAGGATATTGCTGCCGCTCTCCTCCTGCTGCTCCGCATCTTCCTCCAGCGTGGCAGGTTCTCACAAAGATGGGAGGAGAGTCGGCCGGGGGCTACGACGAGGATAAATCCGTTATGAGAGTATTCCAGAACGCTCTCAGAGCGTCCCAGACTGCTCTGCGAAGGCCGCGGTGCCCGAGATATCCTCCAGAGCTGCCAGATCTCAGAGATCCCCGATTTATCCTCACCCGATTGTATCCACGTCCTGGCTCCGTCTTAGGGGGTATGAGTCGAGTCGGGGATTGACTACAGAATTGATTTACCCCAATTGCTTTGTTCGCCGAATCCATGAGAAATGCGTAGGTTGTTCGTAGATCTACGAACATTTTACGCATGACTCGACGAGGACGTCAATTTTAGGATGAATCAATTCTGTAGTCGATCTCCTACTCGACGGAGGAGGAGAATGTTCTAAGGCGGACATGGGCTGCTGCCGCCCCCGCCGGCGGAGAAGGTCGGGGGCTGTCGCGTGGGAAGTCGGCTTTTGCACCGAACCGCCCCAAACAGATGCCCCCCCAGCCGCTGGCAGCTCCCGATAGTTGCCGACACGTGGGGCATGCGGGGGGCATCTGTTTGCGGCAGTTCGGTGCGCCAGCGGATCGAACTCATGCTCCCCCTCAGGGTCACTCCCCTCTCCTGGTGGATCCCGATTTTCCCAGCTCCAGGGAGCAAGCAGCAAAAACGGAGCCCAGATCACGATGCCACCAGGCCCGGAACAGAAGTCGGAAACTGGAGCATATACATTACCAGTGGCGGGCGGTTTTTCAATCCCAGGACTTTTTCAATCGCAGTCGGGGACGACGTCGGGGTGGTGTGGTGTATACTTTTTCCCAGGTCTTCCTGGGGAAGCAACGAAGAATCTATACACCAAGATCCCGGATACACCAGGATCCGCTTTCCCTGTGCGAGGTTCGGTGCGAGGCCAGACAGAGGCGTCGGTGTATAGAGCTCGGTTCCCTGAGAGGGTTCCCTTTCGTGCCGAGTGTCGGCCGTGCTGCGGCCACGCATGGCGCCCGCCGGAGGTGGGAGCGGCAGCGGGAGGCCTCCGTCGGAGCCCCCCCCTGCAGGGCAGGCGAGAGCACCCGCTTCGGGAGGGGCAGGAGGAGCCGGCCCTGCCTCCGGCGGCAAAAAAGCGGAGCGGAGACCGGAAGGAGCTAGAAGAGTGGGGCGGACATTCCAGCCTCACGGAGTCGCCCAGAACACGGCGGGTCCGGAGTCACGGAGGGAGAGGACCCGCCTGACTGCGGTTGACTGCGGTTGATTTTATGACTTGAAGTTGTGTCGGTCATGCACCCCAGGCGATGCGGGAAAGTAGGGCGGAATTTTCTCCGCAAAGGTATGGCGGAAACAGCGACGGCAAAGCTGAGCGAACACCGGAAGGAGCTGGAAGAGTGGGGCGGACATTCCCGCCTCACGGAATCGCCCAGAGCACGGCGGGTCCGGAGTCACGGAGGGAGAGGACAACGTGAGCGAGGGCGTGCACACGCAGATCTACACTGGGGCCCGGCGGGAGCTGCAGAAGAAGATCGGCGCGAGGCGCCGCGATGGCTCTTGCTCCTTGCCTTGGCACACCGCTGAAAGTGTCAGACGAGGACGACGACGACGACGACGACGACGACGACGACGACGACGACGACGACTGGGAGAAGTGGAGTGGCGTGGAGTGGAGGCCGTTGCGGAAGCAAGTTCGTCCGACCGATTACCCATTAAAGTGTGCTCGATTTCCTGCCCTTTTTCTCGGCCTGGCTGAGGACCTTCGGCTTTTAACCAGCCGTAAGTCTGTCGAGGTATCTGCTCACGACAGGGACGGCTCAAGAGGCGATTATGCTGCTCGGCTATAGCCCCACAGCGCGTGCAGAACCATAGTCGGAGGGTCGTGTGCACGTTAAGTTTAGGGTATGAGTGGGATAGCCCATGCCCCCATTATGTGGATACGATCGCCCCTCTTAGGAGACATTATAACACCATCAACATTATATAATTGTGGGCAAGGAGTCGGCCACCAGGCCTTCATACAATCTTGAGTGGCAGAACTGAAGCATCTCAAACATCGCTGCTTATCATCACTGAAAGTATGGGGGGAGATAAGGGAGGCGACAGCAGCAGCGGAGGGAGGAGGAGGAGGGGGAGGAGCAGCAGCAGCAGAGCATTCTCTTTTCCTCGCACCCTCGGCCTTCTCCGTGGCCGCCATACTGTCGATCGCTGCACGAAGGAGCCTGTGTCTGACCAGCAAGGCCCGCCTCTCGTGCATGAGGATCCGCCCTCGCTTCACGCGCAGCGTGTCCCGCCACCTCGTCTGCCACGGCGTTGCCTATGGCAAGGCCTTGCACCTCCTTGCCGTCGCACAGATCCTGAGCCGTGAGGTGGGAGTGGGTGAACAGCACGACCACGGAACGATCCTGCACGAGCTTACCCACCTCCCACCATATGTCCGCGTGCTCGCCCCACGGGGCGATGTACTTCCTCGAATACCACCCTTCCGCCACCATGTCGCAGTCCGTGGCGTACGTGAGGGCCCCCGTGGTGCAGTACAGCGCCATGTGAAAGGCCTTCAGCTCGCCCCTCGCCGCGACTTGTCTCGACCCCGTCAAGGGCCCTGCCACGCACGAGTGGGCCAGCGGGCTCTCCGTGTCCAGCACCCTCACGATGGCCAGCCCGACTGGTCGCAGCTTGTTGGATCCCGTGTCCTGGCCACCGCTGGCATCGCCGCACACGGACACTGGCTCGTGCTCGGGCCCATGGCCCATGCACCCCGCCGTCAGCTCCGCAATACTTGCGTGCCTCCGCTGCTCCACCGAGGGAGGCGGAGGAGCGGCGACCCACGCCGACGGCAGCAGCCCGCGGAGCCAGAACGCCTCGGCGGTGTTGACCTGCACCAGCGCCTGACTCACCAGCTCGTCGCTCATCTCGTATGCCCTGGAGCCCTTGTTCATCTCGCACTGCCACCATCCGTAGAGGGCTGTCTCTCGAGGGGCCTGACAACGATCGCATATAGTGCTACCAGCATACCTCGCGAGGCACTGTTGCTTCCGGTCCTTCGGCCACGCTGCACCTGTCGCCACATTCAGCATAACCTCAGCAAGTCTGGGGCCATCCTTCTGCTGGCTGAAGTGAAAAAGCAGTGGCCGATACGACTCGTTGTCCACCCCGTCTTGCATCCCATCCCCGCAGAAGTGCTCGGCCGCCTTCCTCCACAGCTGCCTGCCCGCTGAAGCCGCGATGTCGGTCAAGATGCCGCTGTGCGTGTCGACCGCTTCGGCCCCCGTGTAAATACTGTCTGGAAGCTGCCAGTCCTCTGTGGTTCCCCAGTCGCTTTGGAAAGACCGTGTGTTCGGATCGATCGGCTGCCACTGCAAACGAAGAAGCTGGATAATGACCGCTGATATAGGCCCTTGAGCTCGCCTAGCCTGTACTCTAAGAGCTTGGCCTATCAAGTTGCCCACGATCTTTGGCCACACATGCCGTATACTCCGTCCACGGTCTGGGTGCGATTGCCACGTCGATAACCATAAATCTATAGCACGCCGATGATATACAACTGCTGGATCTGGACCTGGCGCTCTCAAGTCTCAGAGCGTTGTCAAGCATTGGCCCTTGGTAGGGCTTGCACATGTTTGCCCTAGCCGTCGACGACACCCTGTGACCTGCTGCCCGAACATACCATACGTTCCAGCTGGCTGGCCCCCGGCCTTCTCAAGCCGTGCCGTCTGATGATATATTCGCGAAGCGCGCGAAAACCTTGTTATCTTACTGCTCATCTGCTTATGTCTTTGATCGCGCTTGACGCGCGTAGCACGACCCCGCTGCCCGCAACTGAAATCCACCCCCGAGTATGTTGACTGCCTCGCCGCCTGGATCTGGAAGCCATTGAGTCGCATTGCCCGCGCCACCGCCACCGCGTCCTCGATCTTGGAGCAGAGCACGACCGACTTGGGAGAGACGCGAAGCTTCCTCCGCGCCAGCGCCTTGCCCGTGTCCACGATACACTCAACCAAACTCTTGCGCGCCGCCAGCCTGGGCCCGACCACCTTCTGGGATA